TCAGGTGGATGTCTTCATGTTTCTTAATTCTGTAGGTTTGGCCATTAGCTTGACGATTCCGAAATTGTGGGAGAGAAATGGAGATCGAATACAGAAGCAATTGGCTAATGTTAAAGAAAGATCGAAGGGAGCGTATGATGCAACTCATGAGAAGATTTTAATGATGAAGAACAAGTTACAAAGAGAGGATAAAGTGAAAAAAGGGGAGTAGAGTTACACTTGTCTTTTAATACGAAAATAGATTTACAACTTGCGACATATGTAAATGTAGACAAAAAATGGAGTTGATGTTAGTTTTCTTTTGCCGTTTCCACCGAAATATCTATATTTGAGCATAAAAATTTGATTTAACATTGTGAGTCGGTTCCAGCTCATAATTTAGATTGCCAATGAATTGTGTAAGCAAAATATTGTGTTTAACAGGCTGAGCCCAGCCCAAGAGTATTTAAAAAAGTAGGAAAAAAGTCAACAATGTTATCAGAGCCAGGTTTCGATCCTGGGACCTGTGGGTTATGGGCCCACCACGCCTCCGCTGCGCCACTCTGATTATTTTTGTTAAATGTTCTTCAACATTTGTATTTTTCACTATAGTCGCTCTTTCCATTCACCATTATTACTCTATTTTGTATCAGCTTTTATTCCTAATTTTTCCAATATCAATTGCATTTGATGATTAACGTTTTCAGAGACGAGAGAAGGTATAAATTGGAAAGTTTGATGACAGAAGGACCTTGTTGGGCATGGGCTTCAACAGTAGTCACTTTTAAAGCCCACTTCCGAAAAAGCCCAACGAACAGAAATCCAACGGGTTCGACCCAGAAGGTGGAAGTCCGACGAGCTCGCCCCAGTAACTGACGATCCAGGCCCAAAGAAAGCCTAGCCGTCTTCTGCAGTGAATGACGTCAGCACTGGTCCCAAGGCAACCCTAGTACCTTATTCTCTCCACTTTTAGTATAAATAGGGGTCCCCATCCCATGAGTTGTGGCATGACTTTTCCACTGTTGGGCAAGTACAAGGGAATTTGAGAGCTAAAAGCAATCATTCTCTAACACCAAAAAAAAAAGAACCGCCTGATCAAGCCCGATTGATCAGAAAGTACAAGAATTATTCGTAGAAAGGCTGTGCAGAGTTCGTACTTATCACACCGATATTTCGACCTCAAGTGCTCTTATCACCAGGTTCCGACCTCCGATTCACCGACCTCGTCATCCTGTTATTCAGTCAATCTAGATCTCTAACCCGATCTCGTTTTCAGTCACAGGTTCCGACCTTGAAAGCGACGATCTCATTCCACATCCCGATACTCTCCGATCTAAGCTTCCGAGTTCCATACATAATCTTTTCTATCACGTACAATATCACATCTTGTAGCCCGTTTCCGAGTTAATATCAATAAACGAGAATTTCCGATCCTCTTACTGTATATAAATTTATTGTCGAACTCATGAATCAACAATTGGCGCGCCAGGTAGGGGTCGAACCTACGACCTTCTGCTTAGGAAACAGAGCTCATTCAACTCGATGAGGCAAATCCTGATCGGCAAGTGGCAATTGGGACGGAGTTAAAACCACCAGTCAGGGAAGCTCTCGTGCAGTTTTTGAAGAACAATGCATCGACG